GAGCAAGCATTGGGTGTCCGGATTGAAGGCTGTCATGAGTAGAGGCTATGGCAAAGGCTTAAGATATTCACAGACTTCAGGAGGGTAAGTATGCAATGAGCAACAGGTACAAGTTCATATCTACAAATCAAAGGATATATAAAACCACAGATCATTGGCATCAGGGAGGTGCAGCTACAGTAGCATGACTCAGTAACCAGGACTGAAGCTGCTTATTTCATTCCCACATTCAGGGAGAATAAAGGAAGACAGTGTGGTGGGAACACAGGCTGTCTCTTTTTTTGTGAGTATGGAATATACCTGGCTCCCAGGATGGCAGATCTTTTTGGAAGCTGTTGTCAGTATGCACATGGAACCAAGGATGGGCATTTGTGCTTTAAATAGTATGTAAAGTGACAAGGGTTCACTAGGCATGGAAATGTCCCTACAAGGTAACAATGATCATACATAGCAGCCAAAGCATCTCTATTCAGAAAGAATGGACTTCCATGACTGACTATGCAGGTTTTTATGTTCATGTTATTGTTTGTTTGTTTTATCAATGTAACAACTCCCAGACTTTTCCTTTAAACCAAGTATTCAGACACAGGAACTGACAGCGTGATATGAGTCATTGCCAGGTCTAGGTGGACAGTTAGTTTTACTTGTATTAAATGGTATAAAAGCACAACTCAATTTGAAAAGTAAATGGAACACAGCTGAATTCTGAAGACAGTTTTGATGAAACAGTTTATATGGACACACTTAACTAAATGATTTCCTGAAACAGCCTTGAGTGGGACTCTCTGAATCCACCATCTGAGTCAATTGTACAACTAAATCTGATAATGTTTTCCTTCCTCTTGAGCACACACACACACACACACACACACACACACACACACACACCAAATTTTACTTTTGAATCATCTCAACCAGTTATTGAACTGCCAGTGATGAAGACATCTCAAAATACCTACTACAGTACATTTTTTCCCTAACAGGGAAAGGAGGGACAGATTATGAAGTTGCCTAAGGTCACACAATGAAGAGCTAGCAATGCCACAGTGTCATAACACCTGTGAGGGAATCTGTAATTTCAGTGTGACTGAGGGGTGGGTAGGAGCAGTCATCTGAAAGAGTAGGTCTCCGCGACAGGAACATGCCCATTATCTATTTCCCATTAAAAGGTAAAACACCTCATCTAAGAGACAACTTCATAGCAGGTAACAATTATTTTGTATCCACTGTGAGACAACAGGAGTCTTGGCTAGAAAACAGGAACACTGTCTCCTGCAGGGATTAGTCTGTAAATAATGCAAGTGATTTCCTATCTGTGGACTTTCAACATATGTATTGCTTTTAAGGCTAATTACTCTCCTTGATGCACACTGGTGAATCTTATAGAGTGTAGATCAGACAGCACATCAGGATCCCCACAGGTCACCAGGAACAGTCAGTGGGAAGAACCTGAATTCCCCCACAATGAGACTATAAATAGAAATCACATGGGAATAGCAGATTACCCAAGGTCTGTGTCTACGGCTGGTGAATAGAGGATTATATTTATAACTGTCGTATTTTTAAAACATCTCAGTATACGGTAATGCTATGGAAGTTATTCTTTTACTTGAATGTATATGTGATTTTATTTATTTATGGACCCACTAAATGTTTTTGCATAGATACTCCACTTAAGTTATTTTTAAGTGAATCTCTTGAGTAAAGATCCTTATTATGTATTAAGCAACTAACCATGAACAACAGTGTCTGAATATTACTCCATGAGGGATTCACGTCTCCTATAAAGAAATTCCACAGACAGAGATTTCTATATGCATTCTTTTGAACACAGCTAGGAATATCCCCAACTGAATAACAAGAATAAATCTGTCTCTTAAGAAAACTGCCTAGTCTTCTTAGAATAAACTAACTCTGTCTCCACTGTAACATGAAATAAGCAATGTCCTAGTTAATTTAGCAACTTAAATTTTCAATATGCTTCTTGTTTCCAGAGAGTATAAATACCACATATAACCAAATAAGCTTGTGCATTCACAATCTGAGATATATAGAAACATTACTGGAGAGAAACAAAAAGGCCAGGGGAGGTTTTAGAGCTATCTGATTATTTACATGCTATAAAATAAACCAATGAATGTGGTTTTCATATTGGAAACATTACTGGAGAGAAACCAAAAGGGCAGGGGAGGTTCTAGGGCTATCTGATTATTTACATGCTATAAAATAAATCATGAATGTGGTTTTCATATTGTTTGAGAAAAGAAGAAACTTTCTCAATTATCAAGTAAGCTAGTCATCAGTCTGGGAGGTGTAGAGGAATAGATACAGCTTCTGGTTTGCTGTGTGTGGTATATCACATCCTCATCAGGAGACTTTATTACAGTGTGTGGCACATCCCTTCCTAGTCACATAGCTTTATTGGTCTTTGGAGATCCCATTTTCTGGTTTACAGATAAGAAATGTTGATTAATATGTCTTTGACATAAACCCTACAGAGGCCACTAAGGATCATGCAGGCCTAGATTAAACATTCACAATAAGTAAAACGTTTTTCTCTCTTTCAATTCCCCACCTCAGAAAAATGATTAACTGATAGCAATAGGTGTGATCTGTATTTCACAAAATAATGGCTGTGTATTGGTATTTAGGTGACATGTTCTTTGTACACAACCACATTTAATTGCAAGCTAAATATATAAAAAAAGAAATTCCCATAGGTTAAGAAACCAAGGCACAAAGAAACAAACTGTAGACTAAAGATCAGCAGCAGATAGCAAGACACCCCTCTTTTGAACTAAATACAACTTCTTCACACATATTTAACACTTAGTGCATCTCAGGCAGAAAACCTGTTTCTGCCTCATTACTTGAATTCTGGCTCTATTGATGTGAAAAAGTTGTAAGGACAAAAGAAGAAAGGTAGAGGGAGCCAACAGTGGGAAACACAGCAGAGAGTTGCACTGTGTGTGGACGTTAAAAATCCTGACATCTCTGGACCAAACCACAAAGAAGGAAGACTCCTAGGTGCAGTGCAGCTTTCACTTGTTTACAGCTGTAGCTGTCTCCTCTAGATACTGTCTATCAGCTGCAAGAGAAAAAATGTGAGTCCATTCATGTCTACAGGCAAGTTGATAAAAAAAATTTCCTATCTCCTCAAAATACCATTTTTATTGGGCATAATAATATCCTATGCTGAAACTTTCCATCCTGGTGAGGTGGGTGTACCTGGGAAAAGTGCTATATACACAGAGTAATGAGCTTTTTCTAAAAGAAGACTAACTATTTATACAGAAAACCATTTACAAATAAATAAATAAGGAGCACAGAGTTCACTTCATGCTTCTGAACGTGCTCTCGGAGGTGGGGTGCTCATAGATCTGCTCATTAGCCTTAGCTGTGATTAACCTTTAACTAGATGATCTCACTCCACTCACGTTCTGACTATATGTCTGCACTCTATGCTCTACAACCAGATAGAGAATTGGTTATCAAGGAAGCAGCAGGTAGGCCAGTATGTATGTCAGGCTACTCTTACAGTCTTGATTCTTCTGCATTTCATCCTGCAGTTATAAGCTACACACTGACTAGGGCTGACAACAGGGGTTAAAGGTGGCATTGGAGAGAGTGTCAGCTTGGTTACTTAATTCTAAAACTCTTCTAAACAACAGTGTAAATAGAAAATAACTCCTGTGGATCTTGCCACCAGGGTCAGTCTTATTGTTTATTTAGTCTTAAATGACCTTTTTCAACTGCTCAACTGGGAAGAAAACCGTAATTACCTCTCATTGCAGTTTGGCTTCACAAAATCCACTGGCATCAGATTTTCAAGAAGATGTTAGTTGATTACCATGAATCTCTAGTCTGTGGGATTCCTGGGCAGCATGTGAGCAGGACCCAATTTTTTCATCTTAGTGAGAGAAACATTGGCAGTGTCTGATATGGGAACCTAAGCGGAACCAGTTTACTAAATGTAATTTGCTCTGCAAGCTAAAAGAAATACTCTCAATTAACAAAAGAAACCCTAATTATCTTGGAGTGGTTTTTAACAACAAGGGTAAAGACTGTTGATTGTAACTTTGTTTATAATGGCAGGAAAAAAACAAAAACAAAAAAGAATAGCCCAACTGTCCATGTTAAAAAAAAACAGATAATTACATAATCCATTAGTATTTAGAAGAATGGAATCAAAAAGCACCCCAATCTGTTCAGACTTAGAACGATGCTTAAGATATATTTTTGAATGAAAAAGGAAAAATTAAAGAACAACATAGCTAGAAGTAAATAGTATAAAAAAAACCTTCCAAGTTGATTTTATGGATTTTTCTTGAAGTAATTAATTGTTGGAAAAAATGCCAAGAAGTGTGTAGAAACCTACATACCATACAGATCACAGTTGAATGAGAAATAGGGCCAGGATTGAGGTGATGAAGTAAGTTGGACTTTTAAATATAGGAATCATATTTGTATATTCTTTTCTAAAATTAAATATGTAAATCAAAAGCTTAAATGTCTGGGCTGGAAAGACAGCATGATAGGCACCAGAATTCAGAATCCCAGTGCACATGTGAAAAGCTAAGCATGACGGCACATAGCTGCAACCCCAGAAGTGGTAGTGTGGAGGCAGACAAATCCCTGAAGCTCATTGGCCAACTAGTATAGCTGGATTGGTGAGTTCTAGATTCAGTCAGAGATCCTGTCTCAAAAAATTTCAGCAAGAAGCAATTGAGGAAGACACGTGAGTTTAACCCCTGGCCCCCAAACACACATATATGCCTATCACCTGCAAATACACGCATACATGTCACACAAATACACAGACACATGCATGTGAAATGTTTAATTGCAGTAATATAGTGACAAACACCAACACTCTATCAAGAAATGCATTGTGTTGGGGAAAACAAGTCCTGTCTTTGATCAGAAGGAACTATGTTGTGTAACACTTATTCATTGGCAGAAGAGCTTGGCCCCTGAAGGCCATTACCACCAAAACTCACCCCGTGCTGTTGAGGTAGCTCTGTCCCACGCTGCAGTCTTTTGACAGTGAGGAGGGGTTGAACCAAAAAGCTGGCAGGCATTGCCCATTACTATGTCTCTCATAGCCATAGTCACTGTTAGGGAAATACCCAAGATAAAACTTTTAGCTAGAGGCAAGCTTACTCAGAACTATTTCATATTAGACCACACCAACTTCTAATCAGTCAATAAAATGAGCATTTCCTGAACCAATTTCTTCTAGAAATTAAAATTTTTTTAAGTCATTCTCTATTACCCAGGAAGAAATCTCATAGAACCAATATTCCCACTTAAATGCCTTTAAGATATAGGAATGGGTTAGTTCTCAGGGAATTAGGAACCTGGCAGTGTGGGACGCTTGAGTCTTAGTGAAAACATCATCGTAGAGGTTAACACAGCCACATGTGGCACAGTCCTCATTACCAGTGGTGTCTTTGGAATGTTCTTCCAAAACATCTGGTTGTAACAAGTAGAGCACAGCCAGGTTTCCCTGTGTGCGAGCCATATGCTTCAGAGTTCCAGCCAAAAAGAGAATGCCCTTCAGGAATATCTCAAGCACTTCCCCAAGGAAAAGTTTTGTCCTCAGCAGTCAGCAGTGCCAGTGATACTAACTGCCTTAAATCTTGCCTCTGCACTGAAAACACTCAAAAGAATTTTCTCTCAGTCTCTATTCATTCTTGCTTCCAGGGGACTCTGATTTTCTTGGCTTCTGGAAGAAGAAACTGGGTACCGAAAAGGACAACAAATTGTACCTCCACATGCACAGACAAATCCCAGGCAGCAATGGGCAAGCATTAGTATGAATTGGCCCATCTTTGTAATAGAGGTGAGTTACCGGCAAGGGGTGTGCATGGCGGGAGCAATGGGTTCAGCCTCAGGGGCCAGTCATCAGGCAGCTGGAGCTGAGCATTCTGTACATACCCTCTGGATTAGGGCCTGGTTCAACACAGCATGAATAGGGAGGCTACAGAAGAGCCACTTCCAGAACACCAAGGGCTCACTCCAGGGAAATAGCTGACAAACGCTGGAACATGACAAGGAGCATCCAATGACAGTACCTTTCATTATACTACTGTCAAAGAAGATCGTAGAAAACCCAGCTATTAACAGAAACCCAACAAGGGCATGGTGAGCCTTCCAAAATATTTTCAGACACCACACAGTCACAAAAATTCCATTCGCGCAGGAAACCTTGCAACAGTACTACTCAAGATTCCTTTTCTACTCCTTAGAATACTGTTCTGTTCAGTTTGAGGGATTAATAACAGACTCCAGCCACCACTGAATTCAAGAGTCTGAACGAGACAGACATGGGGGTTGGCGAGGAGAGAAACCTAGTTAATTTCCTTACGTTGTGCTATTTTTTGCCTTGAGCAAAACTAAAATACTGGTTTATTTGGAAATAAAATTGAAAGTAGAAAACATTTTCATGAAAAAAGTAGAATATTTGGGGTATCTTATCTCACTCCCCCCTCTCTCTCTGTGTCTCTGTCTCTCTGTGTCTCTGTCTCTCTGTGTCTCTCTGTGTCTCTCTGTGTCTGTCTCTCTCTCTCTCTCTCTCTCTCTCTCTCTCTCTCTCTCTCTCTCTCCCTCTCTTGTTTTTCCTGACAGGCTTTTTCTGTATAGCCCTGGCTATCCTGGAACTAGCTCTGTAGACCAGACTGGCCTTGAGCTCATAGAGATCCACCTGCCTCTGCCTACCAAGTGCTGGGATTAGAGGAGTACACCACCACTGCCCTGCCTAGATTTTCCATTAGAAGAAAATTTTGCTCTTTTTGGAGAATGACTAGTTCACAGCACCACAGCTCAGCCAGTAATGTGCCATGTCCATTTCCTTTGCAAATTCTCCTTCAACTGGTCAGCCTTCAGAAAGAGGGATGTGATGGATGACTTAGAATCTCAAGGTAGGTATTCCTGTGGATAACTTTCTGGGTGACAGTTCCAAGAGCAGGACAGGGATAAAGAACTGTTGTTGTTGCATTTATATAGCATTGACAGACATCCTGGTTGGGGAAGCCCATCTAGAATTCCTGTGAGTTCCACTGTTGATGAAGCACTGATGCCCTTCAACTAAATGCAAATAGCTGCAATGCTGTTTCTTCGTTTGCCTTGTTCACCAACAAGAGAAAGAAAAGATGGGTTATTGGTTTAACAACTGACAGACATTCTCATCACTACTAATCCAGAGAGCATCTCAAGTGGTCTGCCATTAGAGAAGCCCAACTTTTCTGTGATGGGAAATGCATGTTTAGACTGCATCTCACATGAATGACTCACATTTTAATGACTATACATATGAGCTGTTATAGGTACACAGCTAAAAACAAAATAAGAACGAATAATTTATATATGGTTCAAGTTTTGAGTGTTTATAACATTTATATAAATATATATTATTTTCTTCCTTTAGTATATATTCTGAAAAATGTAAGAGAGAAAGAGCAACAGAAAACGTGATTGCTTAGTTATCCATCTTCATCAATCATTTCTCAATTTCACCTGGAGATCAAACACTGACCAAAATTAAGTCAAGAGCATTGCTGGCTCTTCAATATAGATTTCTGCTTAGCTAATGTCTGGGCAGAACTCTACTGCTTTCTTTAGTTGATATCTCTCAGAGTCTCGCTGCTCCTCGAGTTTAAATTTATCTCTATAAGCACTCAGATCACAAGGTCAAATTGAGTCCACCCTTGCAGTGAGTTTATAAGTGTCACACTCTTAAGCTCTCACAAGCTGTGGATAGTTGATCACCACAGATTGAAAACTTTCAGGAACAGGGAGTTTATGCCTTTGAAGTTATTATGCCTACCATGGATGCTAGATTTTAGGAAGATTTTATGTAGCACATAAGTGTATTTGCTCCCTGAGAACTTCAATTACTATTTCCCATGTTGTTATCTATCTACCTAAAGCAGCTCAATATAGATCTGGCCCCTCTCTTTTTTTTTCTGAGAATACACCATCAATATGAAGATAATTGCCAATCATCTTGTAAGACCTCTTAAAATCCAAAGAAGAAACTGCTGTTTTTTTGAAAGATACAATCACATAGCTAATAAAAAGCATGATGCTGCCAAGAGAGAATTGTATAAAGACATGAAGACTGCCACTTAGCTCTAAGTGGATTATCACTTTTTCAAATCTAAGCTTTTATTGAGGGCTTCGTGGATGTCATATTACTGAACAGCGTTGTGAAATAGCTATGCAAGCTCACCAGTCAAAATCTGCCTCTGTGCAAACACAAGGCTCAGACTCCATTGCTCCTGCATATTTTCCCTGCATACACTTCCGCTCAGATTTTCGCTTCTTATATATCCTTTTGGCTCCCATGATGCATGCTTCACCCTGCAAGGAAACAAATATGACACAAAATCGAGCACATAGTTAGACTGCTCTTTTTACATAACAATGTGGTTTGGGGAGATATTCACAAACTTCAATATAAATAAGATATTTAGGAATCCAATTTGTGCTATTGGTATTTTCTCCTGAAGCCTATTATGAAGTATGAACACAAAGGCAGTTCCAACAATCAATGCAGATTTTTCTAATGATAGCCTCAACTCCTTATATATTCAGTAAATCTTTTTGGGCAATTGTTAGGCTTAGTGCAATGAAGGGCACAACAGAATATAATGTTGCCTATAACTAATAAATTGACTGCTAACCTGTAATGATTAATTTTAGTTTAGTATAAGAAAAGATTTATAGAGTTGGTCATTTATGTGCACATGAAAGAACATTACTAAGAAACATAATATCAATTATATCTCAATTGCTATGTTTTTCTGTATAACTTTATAGTACTAATTTTATGATCATCTACCAGAGAAGCAAGAAAGCCAAGTTCATTCTCTTTTCCAATAAATAAAAGCTGTAATTGTTACAATGTGTAGGCACCCCAAAAAGAAAAACAGCAGCAATGTGAGTGAAAATTTCTTTGGTTTACCTCTGAATAGGGGAAGAGTTCCTTGCTAATGCTGCACACACTGTCAAATATAGCACCTTTGTATTCTGAAAAATCAGAGCAGGATTTTTAAAATCTATTTTCCCCTGTCTATACAGAGGAAACTTACTTTAACTGGTTCCATTTCACATCATGAGTAAATACTTCACTCAGTCAGAGTATAGCAGGTAAATGTTTCACTCCCTGAATATAGGCATGACTTCTTAGTGGGTACCTCCACTATATCCCTTAAATTGCCTGCAAGACTGACATCTATATTGGGAAATCAAAAAGAGAAGATCTCATCCACGGATTTTGATGAGATGTATAACTAAGGGAGATGATGTAGGAAGTCAGTTTTCTATTAGCAATTTCACATTCTTATGCCATAATTATCTTGGAGGAAGCAAGAGGCACTCTAGACTCCTAAGTAATCACAGTAATATAAAGGGACTTCTTTGGCATCACTCACCCAGTATCCTTTGATGACTTTATGCCTTATCTGTGTCTGCATTGTTCATTGAAACTGAAAAACCAACCCTCACTATGCGTCTTTCATGCAGCCCTATGCTACGCTCAGACAAATTATGTTTGCATCTCAGTTCTGAGTTCATATTTCATTTTGAGGTATAAATCTAAGCTAAGCATATTTTAATTTTTATTCCATTGTATCTTATCATAAATAAAACAGAAACAACTTCACAACAGGATATAAATGTTGAGGTAGATTATGCTGTGAGACATAAAACGTAGGAGAATGAAATGGACAACATGGACTTGAGAACTCCAATTCTTAAGCCATAAGGAGTAGTTGTTTTTTATATATCCTCTGCCTACTTCCCACAGTACATGTTCATCTCTCTAACTCCTACCTGACTGTGCAACTGCCAAGGTCTGTAGTCTTCTTCAGCACAGCGTCTATCAAAAATGGACTTATAATCCACTTTGACAAGCTGCCATTCGGAGCGGTGGCTGAAATGTCCAAACACTCTGCAGGGTTTACAGTGATAGATAAGAGTCACAATCATGAAAACAACAACAGTTTAACAACAGCTTGCATTAATTTGTCTGCTGTGAAGATGACACACTGTGAGCCACATTACACGGATCACATCCCCTCACTGTTGAGAACATTTATGAAGACGATCTTATCACTGACTGCACTTTGCAGACAGATAAATTGAGGCTCAAAGATTTTTTTGTCAACACATAATTAACATTCATATCACTAGCAACTGGGAAGGAAAGCCAGATTCCAAAATAGTTGATTCAAAGACACAATAATGGTTTAGAAAAACAACTGAAGAAACACCCACAAATGCTGTATTCTAGGTGGTCCAATATATATTTCTAGGTGGTTTTGTTACTATATCTAGTCCATGGCTTCCATATTCTTTACCTTTTTGTAAGGTCCTACAGAAAGTGGACAAGAGGACCAAGTAATCACAATTCCTCTTACTTTTTAAAGCATGCTCTCCTGCAGTGATTCAGTTAGTTAGTATAGAATTTAGTAACTAGACAGTGTAGACAAAGTGGTCTTTCAGATCAGCATAGACAAAGCCTACAAAGTAGCCTTTCAGATCAACTTTGCTGTATGTGAAACAATATTTTGAAAACATAAATATTGAATAAAAGTGAGCTACTTAACATACTTCGGATCTAGTTGTGTTTGCCATGTACAAAAGTGAAACTGTGACTACTAGGCATAGTAGATTAAGTAGATTATTCTTATCTTTTCTCACTGCTAAAAGTGAGGAGGTTTAAATGTATGACAATTTTTCACTTTGAGTTTGACATTTTTACTGATTTCTCATTCAACTACTTTGGAATTATCTATCATTACAGATTTTCCATGATCCATTTTCTAAGAGCAGGGAATATCACAGTTATATATTTCAAACTCAAAGTTCAAGTTTTGAAACCCACAGTCAGTTAAGTCATTAATCAAGTCTTTCATGAATTAATAATCATTACTTTCCAGACAAGAATGAATGTAAATTAAATTTTTGCAAAGCCAGATGCTCTCATAACCATAATATGTCCATATCCTTAATATGTCTCACAATCATTTAGTGCAAGAAGTCGAGGGAAAATGAAATGTCATCATCTTAAAGGTCTAGAATTTTTTACATCTGTAGTATGCACAGTATTATTACATTTTTAAAAATACATACCTTTATTTTCTATTAAGACAGCTATTACTAATTTACCTAAACTCATTGAGTACAGAAAGAAATGATCAGAGCCTTTCCCTACCATCCTTTAGCTTGGGTCTTCAAAAATAGTTTGCATTCTTTTTCTTCTTTGCTGGAGGTTGTTGAAGTACAATGTATTAACATTGCTAACAACTTCCCAATTAACAGTAACAAATCCAACAGACCACTGAAAAACACATCTCTAGGTCATAGTGAGATGGGATAATACCATACCACTTACGTCATGATTAGTGTCTCTTCTCCAGGCTCCCCCAGAACTCCATCCACAAAAAGTGGAATGGATGTGAAACTGTATTTACTCCAAGATCGCCCTTCATCAAAACTCAACCTAATGGCAGAACAGTTTGACAGTCATCACATATCAAATGGAAAAGGTGACATCTCTGTGTAAGGAAAGATGTTAGTCACCAGCCCAGAAAGTAATACCACACTGAGACTTCATTACAAATAAGTGTACTTATTTACATCAAAAGACAGAAATAGAGATACTCAAGCTACTATGACAAGATGTGTTGGGGTATGAACAAGGGAGAATCAAATGAATTAGGAATAGTCTAATAGCAGCGAGTAATATAGATATCTTTTAAGTTCTTACACCTCATGGGACTATCTTCAAATCTGCAAACAAGTTTGACAAAAATTAAATAAATCTATCCCAAAATTACCAACTCATGAATAAGTCCCACTTATATTACATAAATCCTTACTGATCTCACTGGAATGCCTATGGAAGCACAGGCTGATGAAGGCAAGAGAAGTCTGCATTTCTGGTGGTCCATTATAACATAAATGCCTATGTTCTCTTCAAAATCCATATGTTAAAAATTGCATCACTAATGATATTAGAAAATAGATACTTGGATAAAAATAGATCTAAAGGTTAGAGTCCTCAGTGTTTTGGGACAATTGTTTTGTACCCTGTAAAGATTTGTCACTTGTATTGGTGTAATAAAATGCTAATTGACCAATCACCAGGCAGGTAGTGTAGGTGGGGCAAGCAAGCAGTCAGTATAGGCTGGCTGACCAGAACAGGAGAATTTGGGAAGAGAAAAGGCTCAGTCTGCAGTTGTACCACAGACACAGGGGGAGCAAGATGAGAATGCCTCCCTGATAAAAGCATCTGTGTGTTTCTTTGGGACTGAATGGCTGTGAAACCTCTATCAAACAAAATTGGATGTGATAATAGGTAGGTTAGTATGACCTTGCTCACACTAATCATAATAGTGAATAGTAGAGTGAATACTTGTGAGATATTACTTGTAGGCAATTGACATTGGTATAGATTCTTGTATATTTACACAAATTCAAGTTATATTAAATATGCTCCTATTTCTGTTTATAATATTGTACACTAGAGAAAGTTATTTTGTTATATTGTAAGCATGCATGCTTCTGATATTTTGTATATTGATGCCATTTTAGAATATATTTATAATATTGCACTGTACATTTCTACCTCTGATCAAGATAATTATACATGGTTTATATTTTGGAGTCATTGTCCTCATTTGCTACACAGCTGTTTAAAGATTAATATTCTAATATAAAGACTTAGTCTTTAAGCTACATATGAATTAATTATGATAGGCCTATCATCATCCATGTTTGCATATTTATGGTTAGACTAACCAGGTTCTTTAAATACATAGAGACTCTATTCCATGTGGATAGGTAATCTTCAACTACTTCAAAGAACTGTAGAATATGGCATTTTAAATAATTTAGGTTTCTGTTGACCTGAAACACAATTGCTCCTGGCAGCACCAATATATTCCTGAGAGAATGCTGAGCACCGAAGACACTCGACTTGGAGCTTGTTTTCTTCTTGACAAAACTGGCCTTTGGGCAAGGAACTGCCCATGCCTCAACCACTGACAAAACGCACAGTGTCAGGACAAGACAAAAAGGATAAAAGAAAAAAAACTGCCAAACCTTGCCAAGACAGGATAAGATTGTTCTGAAATTTTTCTTGCCTCCAAAAATGGTCTGTCAGTTATTCTAGTCCTTAACCAAAGATGGTTGCTCCAACATTGCAAATGAGACTTTGGGTGATTGCCCAGGTAGCCAGTTGTCTCTGTCACTTATTGCACATTTTGGAAGTTGCTTGATTGCCCTTCCTGTCTACTCAAGTAATATTATTTCTCTTCTCAGGTCTTCAATGGGGTTGAAGACTAGATAGTCATAGCTACTTACCTCTCATGACTTGACCAGCTATTTCTAATACAAGACTTAGAATCCTCAGGATAAAATAATTAGTGAGATTATTGTTTATGCTGGTTGTAATTTTAATTTTTATACTTGATATCTGCTCTTATTGTATATAGTTTTGTATTAGGCCTAGAACTCTTTTATTTAAAGAAAAGCGAGATGTGCTGTGGAACTCTTTCAGCCAATAGCCTTTAAAATACCAGTCCACTTGGGTGTGGCCTCTTATACTATAAATGCCAACATAAGACCTTTACACTCTCTCCCAGCTTCTGAATATGGTTCCTGTTGCCCATTCGTCAGAGGATTGTAATCTGTGAGTCTACCTCTAAATAAATAATCTTTTATTATGCTCAATTCTGAGTGAGTATGGGATTATTTTACAGCATGCATCATTACCTCAGAAATGGAAGTATTGTCTTAAGAAAGGGGCTTGGACTGTCTTTTCTTTTTTGTTATGTGGAAACACAGGTACAAGGCACTATTTAGGGATTCAAAAGTAGTTGTTCAGCTGAAATGAACATGGCCAGCATTAGTGTCTTATACTTCAAGCTCACAAAACTATGAAGAAATAAATTTTTCCTGTTCATGAGTTATCTTGTTATGGTATTTGGTAACAAAACATGAGCACTAACTGAGACAACTGAATGAGAGGGTGTGTTTTATTCTGTCTTTCCCTGTAGATGCCTTTCCACAGGACCAACCTTTGAAGTTTTCTCCTAAGGTCATTAATATAATAAAAGATGGAAGGAAAATCAGGCTTTTGATTTTTCACAAGCAAAATATTCAGTGGACCACTTCCAAATATGAATAAATAAATCTGTTGGAAACCCCTGTAGACATTTGGCCTTGCACATTGATCAATAAAAGAAACAAGCATATTTGAGGAATGTCACCTCATTAAAGGGAACTAAGGAAGTATTACAGGTGAAACAAGATAAGAGCAGAATAATCATGAACTGCAAATCTCCGTGTGGGATGCACAAAACTGTGTATATACTAAACTTCACGAGAGGCTGCTAGGGATGGGTGATTGTAAATACTGTCCTCTGCTGAGAAGTCACGGGAGAGTGGGAATGAGGCTGTCCAGCTGATGGCGCTGAGGAACTACGAAACTGATGCATGCACTGTCACATTTGAACACCATAATGCAGTTGTTCTTGTAGGAGCAGAAACACTTGCCCATCCTTCTGTTTGCCCCAATTTCCTCCTTCCAGTCTGAGGCCACACTCTTACTTCAGTGGAACAAACATGAAATTATGTGGTAGTTGGAACAAACATAGTTGTAGTGTGATGGCCGATTCAAATGCTGGCCTGGATAAAATGGCCACATGCATTTTTCTATGCTAGAAGTAGCCTTACCAAAGGTGGCGAATTGGGAGAGATGTGTGTTTCATAGCAACCAGGACTCCACCTTGATCTAAGTACAAAATACTGTGCTCTTCTTCAAAGATCTGGATGAGAAAAAGAAGAACACATAGGCACACAATGACATTACATCTGCACCTGGTATCCAGGGTATGAGAAATCCGTTTAGGGAGATTAAAATCTCTCACATAGAAATAGGTTTCCCTAAGCTTTGAGAAAATGCAAGCGAAAAGGCGATGCTTCTCAACATGGGCTACATCTATCACTGATACTAAATAAAATAATTTTATAGTTCTAAAAAATAAATTTTAAGCATGAATGGCAACTATTCATGTTTTTATTCTCTTATATTGTGTAGTACTTATCAATTCCTATTTCTGAAGATGATGTCAGAGCACAGGGAAACTGTAAATAGTGTACATATCTAGATGGAAGGAACATTGGCGACAGTTTAGTACAACATTCTCATTCATATACTAAGATTTGCAGAGTGGGAACGCACAAATAACAATGGGTGAAGCTGAGGCTCACTGCACCGTATTGACCTTTTCAGATGTAATTATCTAATATCTTCAAATTCTCACACTTGATCAAAAGAGATGTTTTCTCATTTGACTCATAGATATCCTTCCAAGTGATAAGTAGCTCTAATCAAGACAAAATCATTAACTTTGGTCACATTTAAAATGGAGTCATTCATAAAATGTGGAAAAATGAATCTAAAATCAAATGGAGACAATCTCTAAATTTTTCTATATAAAATGCTTTCTGGGTTCTCAGTTAAAATGTTATGATGGATTCATCTAAAGTTATACTAGAGACATAATCTCTCTCTTTAATCTTTTCAGTATGTGTGTGTGTGTGAGAGAGAGAGAGACAGAGAGAGAGAAAGAAATGCATGAGACCAGAAGAAGGTATTGAACTCCTTGAAGCTGAAGTTACAGGTGGTCATGAATTTCTGGATGTGGGTGTTAGGGGACCAAATTTTGGGTCTCTAAAGTGCAGAAAGGAACTTAATCACATAGCCATTCTCCAGTCTCATTAATTCTTATGCATAATATATGACCTCTACCTGTATCAGGAGAATTCTATGTCTCATTTAGTGTCAGAAGAAAGAAATGGAATCCTGAGAAATCCTGACACTGTTCCCCCAAGATTTCCTTAAGGTTTTCCATCTTCTTTCAGACCCCCAAAATTTCTTCTGTACTCTTTCATCAAAATATGCAATACCATTGAGGGATTAAAACTAAGAAAAAACATTGGGCTATCAGGTCCTCCTCCTCTTTTTCCTTTCATGAAATTAAAAGTTAAGTGAGCCCGTTGTTAAGTATGATTACCTGTGCACTAGATTTCAATTTACAGTGCTAGTTATTGTATGATAATTAAGCACCAGAGGCTTATTAAAACATATTTATTGAGGTGTAACAGTCATACATTAGGCTTGTTGTGATAGTTAAACCTCATTAAATGCCTGCTTTATAAGCTGTCAAATTTCTAATTTTCATTCAGAAGAAAGGTAGGAGGCAGCTAAGCTAAGCACATTGGTTTGAAGTGGCTCCATTTGTGTTTATTGACCATATGTAGTCTGAGAATTATTACTCGGTTATTTACACATGAGATTTAAACAATGCAGAATGCCAACTGGGTAATGGCTATTTTTGCTTCTCTTTGAGGCAAGGAGAATTTATAAAGACAACTAAGTTTTACATGTGCAATCCACTCAGAAGTATCCAAGTTTCTTATATGATGGACTCAGGGATTCAATTTTCTTTTGCATAAAAATGCCTTCCAACTTGATTTCAGATGCATTTAGGTATGGACCCATGATACAAAATATCTTTATCAAAGGATAAAAACATCAACCTTTAGAAATTTGGTTTAGTTCATTTCAAACTTGCATTAAAAGGAGAAAATGAAATACACTTTTTCATGTCAGAATGCTGTCTTTAGGTTTCTAGATTTGAAATAAGTTGAACTATGACTTAGAACTTGAGCAGGCCAACCTAGACCAAGGATATTTTCTTACCTGCCTCCAAGTGTTCCCTGCGTCTGAAGAGACAAACATGCTGATGTCGCTGTCTGACAGTTCAGAACCTATATTACCTAGAAAGAGTGCAGGTTCATTAGTGGGAGGAAGATTCTGAAAGAGTCAAGAACAGATCACATCAACAGTCTGCACTGCCTAGATGGATTTCAACCATAAACTTTCTGTCTAAGCAAGGATTTTCAGTAAACTTGCTTCAGGTCAATGGTTTAGTTGACTTTCCAAAATATTTTTATCTTGCTCATGAAATTCCAACCACAGATATCTAGTTTCTTAAGATAAACACATATACAATAGTAAGCAGAGCATTCACACATCTTACCTGAAGCAACTATAATACTTGGGGCTGTGTCCCTGCTGGCAATGATCCCAGAGGTGTAGGGATTCTCAGAGACCTTGAGATGAAGGTGTAGTGAGCAATAAGGCTAGGAGGAAGAGAACTGAAGGTCATATATGCACAAAATCAACATGGCCACTCGAAACATAGATTCTACAGCTAGGAACATTGCTACAAATTCAGGGTCAACCTGATCTACAGAGGATGTTTGAGGGATTCCTAGAGAGACCCTATCTCACTTTTGTAAAGTAAACATAAAACAAAATAAACTAAAAGACCTAGATTCAGAACATCTAATCTATCTGTCTATCTATCCATCTAGCTATGTATCCAGTCTGTGTTCCATCTATGAACATCTTCTTCTACCCATTGCACTCATCCATCCACCAACTCATCAATATTGTGTTCTTAAATGTCTATTGTCAACCAAGTATATGACATCTGTTAGGTGGATATAAAAAAAAAACACCACCAAAACAGTCCTAATTTACCTAAATTATATTTATATGATAAACTTTCTAACAACTGTAAAATGTTAGTCAGAACGCATTAAACAATTATGGACCAAAATTTGATTTCTGCCATTACAGACATTAAAAAAAAAGAAAGGACATGAGATCTTTCTATTGGTAACCAGGTTAAAACAAAGTATTTTAGTGCTCCTAATAAAGACAAAAATAAAACATTATAAAACTCTAGATGGTGAAGAGACAGTACAACCTGAGGGAGGATGGGAAGGTGATATGACCAAGGTATTTGAGGGGAAATTTGGGACATGAGCAATACCAATAACAAAGAACAAGAGGGGAATTGATAGACTATCACACTATGTATCCAGGGAAGACTAAAGGAACAACGAAACATGATGCTAAGAAAAGGGGATGAGTTGACCTAGGAGAACTTGAGAAATCAGTTGGCAGCTGAGCCATTAAATACCACAGAACATGGCCTCAGCATAGAAAATTCTGTATGAGATGTGAAACTGCCCTAACATCTGCAAACAAATGACACAGTGTCATCACCAGATTCTGATTCTTTTTTAATGAATATGTATTAATTATACAAACTAATGAGTTTCATCACTGACATGTACACAACACACTTTAATCATCTTTATCCCTTCAGTTATCCAATTTTAATTTTGCTCATTACAAAAATAATTTTTTGTAGACAAAATGCAGTAGCAATAAAATTTAAATGAAAATTTTAGGCAATTGTTTATGTGTGCTTAGGGGCCTTGGTCCAATTCTCTGATTAAGAAATCTATAGTTTTTCAAAAGTGGATAGTATTTCTTTATATGAATTTTGTTGATAGTTCTCCATATACTTAACTGTCAAAAACACAAGCTTGTGTTTGAACCTCAGTTTCCTTCGTCTCTTAGGAAGATTGCTTCCTAATCTTATTGAGTTGAGGTTTGGGAATCACCAGTGTATCTAAGCTATGACTTTTATTCTTCTCTGTAAGTCTCAGTCAGAAAATATTCAGAGAACTTCTGAAATGCAATGATTAAATTTCTATAGGATGGTGGAAATGACAAAGCAAAAATGAAACTCAGGAATAAAAGCAGCCAAACACTGCAAAATGAAATCACAGATCACAATAGTGTGGCAGAACTCTCACTAACAGCACGGAAAGTACAGCCCTGAAGGAACAATGAATTACTGATTCTGCATGAAAATTCTATGCAAAGTTTCAAGGAGAGTTTCATGCTCATAATATTCTGAAAAGGAACACATAGCTCTAAAAGAGAAGGAACCAAATACTAGGCTTCTTTATGCCCATCAGGAAGACGAGAGGAACCAAGAGCAATGTTGTGGGACACCTAGAATGCTACGACAAGAAGAATGGATCCATCATACCTTGGAAACTTTCCTATCATATGTAGATTACATATTTACTTTTGTCTGATTTATCAACATTTATTTTACTATGAGTAATCCTGAATGGTCTGTTTCAGGTATGGTATAATTTTATCTTTCTCAGACAATCTAGAAATAAAATCAAATCAGGTTCTATACTGCATCTCATATGGAATCTTGCATATAATTTATAGCATTCCAAAGAGTGTCATATAGCCTGGGTATTATCTCTAGACATAGAGATTTCATGGAGTGCCATTTAAATCACTTAACAGAGCACTAGATTCATGTACAAGAGAGTGTCCAGGTCACAGTCTTGAGCCAGTCACTTGCAGCAATTGAAAGATTATGAGGCTCAGTTGATGTCTGCGCCAGTAATTATTTGGTATGGAGGTGTGTGATAACAAAGAGACGAGGGCATTTCAATCAGCTATCTCAACCTGCTCTCTGGCCCTGGCGTTCAGAGGGCCAAGGCATTAAGTTAAGAAGCAAAGGCACAAATGATCTCACTGACTTGGCCTCCTCTCTCACATTCGTAGTCTTGGATTGCCCCCAGCTGGTACACAGAGAATTTTCTATGCCATATTTTTCTGTTTCTTTCATTTTCTTTATCAAACAGTTTATATGGCTGACTCCAATGTCTCAAGAAAATCAAGAGAAAGTGACTGTGCTTTAGTTAACATTTTGTATTTGGCCTGTTGTGTCAAAAGTTATTCCATGACAAACCACTGTCGGGTATATTATAAGGACCATCACGCTGTTCTGAGTCTTTGGAGGACATGGAAAACGGCTTCTGAATTCTCATGTACATTTTGGCCAGGAAGGGGCACTTAGTGTTTCTTTTTCACCCTTTCTTTTTGCCTTTATTTATTTAAAATGTCTTTAATTTGCTCATGGGCAAATAGGTGTGGAGGACCTACACTATGCTGCTTCTTACAGCGGCAGTTGCTGCAGTGATCTCTCCAGGGTCATCTCCAACACAACAAAGAATGGGATGTTTCAGGTTTCAAGGGTACTTCCTGATATCTTTTCCCTTCCTTCCGTACAAAGCAAAGAGAAGCATGTACACTGATACCAACCATGTTCTAGCAGCTAGCTTACAGAAGATGGGTCACCAGCATCCATAGTCAGAAACTGCCGTTTGTGTCCTTCATCTACTTAACAGACATGATATATTATGAAGCTTCCTAGTGGCTCTGAGATACTGGCTTCTTAGTCTCTAATGTTATCCTACTGAGGCACAGGATATCTTGAGAATCAGAAGCTCATGGAAGGCCATAGAAACAGAAGAAATGCATGTGCAGAGTCCCATCTGATTTTAGGGAGTTTCCAAACCCTTTACCTCCAAATCAAATTACCTTTCTTTCCTACCCTGATCTTTTCTTTTATCTAACAAAACTATTTTGACACAAGTATGTGTTCCATAAATACTCAGTGGGACTAAATTAACACATTGTTTCTTCATCTTGGATACTTATCATTCAATCCTTCTGTCTAACTGAAACGCTCTACCCACCAATCATTTTGTTTATTTTTTTTAATCGTTGCTTTTCTGAGCCGTGGTCTCAGTTTTAGCCCCTTTAGGCATCCTTTCATTCAATCTTCCCCTTTATAGAACTTCCTTGGTTTTATTGTTTGTTTGTTTTGTTTCATAGAATATCCTCTGTTAAGAGATATTTTGCTCCTTGACGTTGAGAACACCACTGCTTACATCTCATAGGTTAGTAGCAAGTCATATTTGTCATTTGGTTGCTGCTTACAATACTTAACAGTTTTTCTGTGGTCCGTTAATTATCTTCTGTGTTTCAAGTACAATGGGGAATCACCTAGTGCTAAAAGACACGTGTCCGATAAAGATATGAACTTAAAAAAACTATTAGGGTTGATTTAATAAAGAACCAGTCCAAAAGTCTACTTTTCCCCCTCCACCCTCTGTAATAACAGCTTTTACATCTTACACTCAGGGCAACTCATTTCCATAGCTACTAATGTGAAGGTTATACCATAAACACAGGTCAGAACTTTCAATAGGCCCAAAACAGCCACTAAGTCCCCAAACAGCATTCTCAAACACTTCCCCAAGCACACATGATTTTGTATGTTTTTTATTCAAAATTATAGCAAAGAATTCATTTTGTATTCAGTAAAGATTCAATCACAAAGAAGAAGGAGTTATTTAAACGTGGGACATCCAGTACCACTTCAGTTCAACACAATGGAGTCCTGGAGTCAACAAGAATCTCTCACAGCACTTCCTCTCAGCTCCAGATTGAAAATTTAAAAAAATAGAGTAAAATGATTACAAAGAAGCCAGGGTCTCTCTGTAGAGAACCCTGTGCTTTTGCTCAAAGGCCCAAGCATTTGTCACAGTCTCAGGTGTGCCCCCACATTGCCTCTGAGAAGCCCGAGTCTCAGGCTTTGGTGGAAGATGACTATGACCTGCAATACTCTATCTAATTGTTCAATGCAGTCTTCAGAAGCAAGAAATCTCAGCTGAGTCTCTGGGCAATCAGTCTGAAAGTCCTAAAAATACAGCCGCAAATTACTCTGGATGTCTTATTCTATAGAATGCATCTTGCCAGGGACATTCCATTTGGGGCTGTAATTCGGGACTTGTTCACGTTTGTAACAGCCCCGCTGGAAAGTCTCTTCTCTAATCACTGGCCTCTGCTTTGAGTGACACTGCCACTGTCCAAGTACTACAATATAAAATCGCTTTTGTATCTCCACTGCCACTGCCTCCCAAGCCTTAGAAGCTTTCTTTTCTTTCCTTCTTTCTTTCTTTTCAGTTGAGGTGTCCTGTAGTTCAAAGATTTTTCTCTCCTATTTTGTGCCTTTGGGATGATTTTTAAAACTGATTTCACCTCCCTTTTCTATTTCCTTTGTCAGCTTCCATTCTTTACTCTGTTTCCTGGTTTTTAAAAGTTTATGTTAAACTACTTGAGTAACAAGATTAATAAAGGAGAAAGGCCCAAAGACTCCTGGATCCAAACACTCTAAATCCCAATAATTCATGTGTCCTTAATCTCAATTAGCCTCTTGATTTTGTTAACTTTGGGGTCAATTTGAATTCATGAGGATGTTACAGTGATGTCTTCAGTGTAACTGAGAAGGATGGCACAGTTTCGGTTAAAATCAAATCTGAAAGTCAAACTTCTTTCAATAGGGTGATTATATTTACCACACAAAACATACAAATATAGTATATATATTGAATCCTCCATGACTCAAGTTTGTACGATTCTTGATACAAATTCTTGAAATTGACATAAAGATGGTCACAGTTTTTGTATTTTTGGAGTAGACATTTAATACAGGAAGATGGGAAAGAAAATCAGCGTATAAATGTAATGATTTTTAGATAATAAATCTTATAAAGAAAAAGAATAAAATAAACAGTTTTGACATCATTGGATACTCACGAAAACCAACTAAGAAGAAAGGATCTGAATGGAAAGAAAAGGTCTATTTTGAAAATGGGATCCTTTAAAAGAAATAATAGGAAATCCCATGGCAAGACATACATGAACACAGTAAGTTCATAATGTGAAAAGTAGTGAACTCTTTCTTCTCCATAACAACTTGTGAGTGAGGAAGGATGGAGGGATTGGGTAGGGTCTAACTAAAAGGAAGAGACAGAGGCCAGGTAATAGGACACCATACATGCTTTGATAAAATATTGGATTTATTGTACTTGAACTAGAAAGTCAACAGAAATCTTAAGTAAATGATGCACATTTAAACTTTCATATGACAGTGTTTGATAAAAATGGATGAATGAGAAATCTAGTAGGCAAGATAATATGCAAGAGCTGTAGTAGTAATCTAGGGCCCTAAGTGTGCTTCTAACTGTAGAACACAAGTGAAATTTTGAGGGTGATGGAAATCAAATAGCATACACATCTGTCTGTCACTGATGCTTTTTATGTACACTTTACCTCAATAAAACTGACTTTTTAAAAAAATGGACTACTATGTGAAGGATGAATTGCCAGGTAGAAATGAGAAGAGAGTGTGGCCAATAGGAGATTTTCACTGAGCACCAACCAATGAGTGATTACACTTGGATTAATAGTCCCATGGTAATGGGCAAGGGGGTCAATACTGTATCTCTATTTCGGAAATATAATAATACAGCTTTACAATTCTGGGTTGGGGTTGGGAGCAAGTGTGCCTTGCTCAGTATTTTGCTAAGAAGAGCCACTTTCAGTCGTCCCTTTATGATGCTACAGAGGAGAGACAAAGCTGTCTATGTGAGATGGTTAATAGCCTTTCTCATAGGTATTGATCTTCAAGTTATGTGGTATGTGTGGAAGAAGTTATTAAGGTGCTAGTATATTTAAACACCATAATTCCATAACCTGGAGTAGTTGGATAGGAAGCTGATACATTTTAATAGCACTCACCCATACCTTGACTAATATACATATCCAATAGATACCTATAGCATTTACCTAGTCGATCACTGGACTGTGAACTCTCCATCACAACAGGCTATTTTTCTCCCAGAAGGTTGCTGGTAATAACGATGGTGTCTGAGTAGGAGTTGAAATTTAAGACTGCTTTGCTGATGCACAGTGATGACATAAATGTCTGTTACAACTAATAAGGTCAAACTACAGCATCCTTTTGAGAAAGATGTTGACCTGCCTACTGCTATGTGAGATGAACCTGAGAAATGACTGCCACAGAATTGTGGGATAAATGAAACAGAGTGAAGATTACATCAAAGTCAGTGTTATGAATAGTGAGATCAATAATAGATGCACATATAGGTGAAATAGATTTGAATAGATACGCATATGCATATAGCCACATTTTAAAACCTTACTATAAAACTACATGATCGTCCCCACACTGATATCATCTTTGTGTGATCTTTAAAATAACTTCTGAGATGTTTTAAAGAACATATGTATTAAAAAATACTTTGATTGAAAATATATCTCTTCTTCCTCTGTTTCTGTATTCACTAGGTATCTATTTGATATAGGTGGGTCTTCTGTCTATGTGTTACTTTCATTGGTCAAATAAAGAGACTGCCTTGGCCTTTGATAGGACAGCAGCTTAGATAGATGGAGTAGACAGAACAGAATGCTGGGAGAAAGAAGCAGAGTCAGGCAGACCCCATGGCTCTCTTCTCTAAGATGGATGCTGGCTAAACTCATGCAGGTAAGCCACAGTCAAGTGGTGATACAGATTATCCGAAATGGGTTAATTAAGATGTGAGAGTTAGCCAAGAAGAGGCTAGAACTAATGGGCCAGGCAGTCTTTAAATGAATACAGTTTCCATGTAATTATTTTGGGGATTAGCCAGGCGGCTGGGAGCCAGGTGGCGGGAAGCTACCCGCCGCTCCTTTTACAACATCCACTGATATGCTGAGCATATCATGGCCATCAGAGCCACTGTGATGCAACTAAGAGATGCTTTGTTTATAAATCTAGTATCACTCCGTCAAGTAAGCTGATCTAGTATCACTCCGTCAAGTAAGCTGAAACCTCCTTGATAACACTGTCTTTCATCTTTCTCTATGATACTATCCTATCTTTTAACATATAAATAATTTCTTGCTGACATATCTGATAAAGAAAAGTCAATGAAAGAAAGCCGTGATTTAAAGCAATGATATGGATATGCAAACTTTCCTTTCAAGGGTAGTAATATAAATATCTTAGACTTGCTTTGAATGCACATGGCTACTGATTCTACCTTCGTAAAGTGAAAATGGCCATAAACAATAAAATAACCATGTAAGTGTGACTGTGTCCCAGTAAAGCATTACATAGCAAAACAAGTGCTAGGCTACATTTTCCCCTACATGTCACAGATTTTGCAAGGCCAGACATTATAGACTAAAGCAGATAAACTGATAAGAATATGTAGAGGAAGCAAATGCATGCTTAAGCCATTGATTAAACCATTGACTTAGACCATTGACTCAATAAAAGGTTGAGTCAAAAACTTCTTACAAAATGAGGTAAAATGTGTCTACAGGAAAATACACTAAGACAATCTGAATTCACCAATGGATGTGGGATTCTCCTCTGTATGCTATGAATATATTTTATTATCATTGGTTAATAAAAAAGCTGTTTTGGCCTATAGCAGGGCAGAATATAGCTAGGTGGGGAAAACTAAACTGAATTCAGGGAGAAAAAAAGGAGGAGTCAGGCAGATACCATGTAGCTGCTGAAGTAGAAAGATGCTGGAACTTTACAGGTAAGCCACAACCTCATGGTCATACATAGAAATGGGTTAAGATGTAGGAGCTAGTTAGGAATATGCTTGAGCCATCAGCCAAACAATGTTGTAATTAATATAGTTTCTGCATGATTATTCAGATCAGGATGGTTGGGAATACAATGCACAGTCTCTGTTTACAACCAACTCTAGAGATAAATGTATGCAATATTAGCTCTGTAACTGGTGATTTATCTTGAATTATAAGAGAGCTCAGGGAACAGCCTCACAAGAGATGAAAAACATCGTATTTCCCTAAACCTGGAGGTACTCCTGCACAGCTGAGATGGAGGGCTTGGGTTACATCTCAGTAGTAGAGATAACAATTTAGCACATAAATAAAACAGGAAATCTCATCACCACCACCACCACCCTAAACACAAGACAAACAGAAATGATTCAGGCTAGAAAGAAGAATTTTGTAGTAGAGCAAAGGTCTGGGACATGTTCTCATTTATTTGGCCATCAAAAATGATAGGCCTAACTGCTCTTTTCTTTGGATTTTTCCCATCTTTTTCATCAGCTGAACAGAAGTCCCAAAAGTATCTTCAACATCTTGTTGGACACCAACTCCCACCCTTTACTATGTGTGGCATGCTGCTTCAGCCCACAGGACTCACCAGTAAACAGTGCACAGGGTCCCCTCTTAGATCTGCATCTGGAGCCTGCAGCAAACGCCAGTCTCTGCCTTTGTTGTAAGTGATGAAAGTCTTCACTTGGTTGTCAATCTTCTTGTTAGCCAAGAACATTCCCTTTATCCCTGCTACCTGGGAAAAATTGACATGGCTGAAAAATACATCAATTTGAGAAAGGACATTCTTTTTACATTAAAATAACAACCAACTGCCAAATTTTTATCCTAGAGAAAAGACAGGATAGGTGTAAGCGCTTAGATATCCCTCACCAGTCTACCTGATAGAAACCAATAGCCTTGCGCCCCCTGCTGTATGCGAGTCATAATACAAGCTGAGTAGAGGTTTATCATCTTTTTGTCTGTTTGCTTTGCTGATACTGATGACGTCTTTAACTTTTTTCAATCACCAAAGATCAGAAATAATCAAGATGTTCATTAGGAGGAAGAAAGTAAAATCAACAGTGACATGTACAAACAATGGAATATTATTATGTGACACTAAAATGCACCAAAAGCCATAACATGATGGGAGGGCAGAGGCAGACACATACAATAAGTGAAGGTGGTAACTGCATGACATCCTGTTAATGCAAATCTATGCACACACACACACACACACACGCACACACACACACACACACACGTGCACACACACACACAAAAGGTCAGCGATCGCCCAGGTCTAACTTGGAGCAAGAAATGAATACGTGAAGCATAGAGGATTCTACATGCAGGGATCACATAATGATGCATGTATGTAGCAGGATACTTGTCAAATCCATTAAATGTAAAACTTCTGTAAGCTGTGACTTGCAGAGATTTGTCATCTAATGGTAGGTTGTCTGCAGCCTTCAGTCTCCATGAATCAAACCCCAACACTTTCAAGTCTGTTACCTGACAAGCTGTAAGTAAATAGGGACAACTTATACTGTACGCTAACTGTCATGCAATGTAACACATATATCATATACATATGATATATATGATATTATGTATATATAATCTCTCATTTAATCTTTACATGTCAGAGATAGCTGAGGTACATGCCAGGCCACACCGTTAATGACACAGCAAATGGCAGACCTGAGATTATAGCCCAGAAAAATGTAGTTTCTGAGTGCATGGCTGTAATGGCTATCTAAATTACTGAGGTATTTTCAATTAAAAGAGGTCTGTTGGAAGACCCTTTTTGGGTTTGTTGTTGTTTGTTTTCTTGAGACAAGGTTTCTCTGTGTAATAATCCTGTCTGTCCTGGAATTCTCTTTGTAGACCAGACTGGCCTTGAACTCACAGATCTATCTGCCTCTGCCTCCTGAGTACTGGAATTAAAGGTATGTGCCACCATCGCCTTATGAAAGACTCATATAGTTATTATTATTTCTTTTTTGATGTAAGAGTTCTTCCTATTGATTCATCAAATATATGGAGCATTAGAGAAACAAAATAAATTTTAAGAAGTAACTGTTTTGTTATCAAATAACCATTCCTTCAGTCTCGTGATGTTGCTGTTCTTACCAAAATCAGTTGGCATCAGAGCTGTAGAAATGGCTCAGCACTTAGGATTATCAGTTTCTCCTCCAGAGGACCCTAGTTTTGTTCCTAGCACCCACACAGCTATTCTGACACTAAATGCTGCTAACAACTATGAAAATGCTTGCTCATTCTACATGCTAAGGCTAAGAATTAACAAGCTATCAAAATTGTATAATCAAAGATCATCACTTGTAAACTGTTTTTATTTTTCAGGAATTTTAGAGTTTTACAAAATATATGTTAGTCCCTGTAAAATGATTACAACCCAGGAAAATTGCAGATTGGTGAGGGAAAGGTCCAAAGCATGTTGAATGATCCATTCCATGTCTATGCATTTTTACTCATCCGATGCCCATCATTACATTGGGGTAGAGTGGTCAATAATCACGGATTCAGGATGAGAAAATGGAGACTTAGATTACATTTGGAGCTAGCTGCAACATATATGGGGAATAAAAAAAATACTTGAGAATTTTGAAGTAATTTAAGTCAGCTTTTTATTGTGATATGATTAATTTTAAGCAGAAGAAATACACAAAAGTTGTAGTTTTGCCTGTCCTTGTTAATACAGAGCGCTATGCTCATTCCCCTGCCTTTCAAGGGTTGCTACAAACCTGTGTAATAGCTTTCATCCCAAGTCTCTGCAGAAGGAAACTGACGTGTTGACAAATGTTAATTGTTTTCGATCACAGAGACTGTAGTTTCATATTCTGTTTGACTTCCAAAATTGTTTCAGCAGATAGCTCAGAATTTGTCAGCTCTAAAGTCTGGGTCTCAACCCACACTAGACACACGTCTCGATTTTGTTTTTGACACAGGCAGTTCTCATTAGTCTGTACCTGTGGATTTGGCATCTGGGATAATTTAGAGACAGGCCAAATCTGTACTCTTTTGGAAGAAGATTGTTTAACAATAAATGCAGTAAACGAGTTGTTGAGAAGAATACTTTGAACTACTTATGAAAACAAGCCACATTCTAGGCAATCAACAGCTCAAACAATTTCTGGTGCATTGTTGATTCTCACCAAATGTGGAAGGCATAAACTCCAGGAGCGTTCTACTTCCCAACGACTATGTGTTAATTACCAATGATATTTAGTTATTCACTATAACAGCTCCATACAGGCTGCTTCCCAGGAAACCCCATGTTAGTTTTCCATATGTTCAAGAGGCTGTTATGTACTTAAATAGGACCACATTGCCAGTTCTTTGAGAATTAAATTGCATAAATCAGAATTTTCACAAAGCCCTGTTGGTCCTCCTTCTCACCCAGTATCTAGCCAGAAATAAGAAACGATGTAGTCATCCAGTCCTCTATAGGGTTAAAAAAAAATAAGTGCAAAAGGAATTTGAAAAAAAAATGTTACCTATTTCAATCATTTCATTTTCTGTTTCCTCCTCTGCCCTCTCGCCTTCTTTGACAAGAGTCACAGAGCAGGAGGCTATGTGTTTAGGAGCTGGTTCATTTGATTTGTAGACGTGGTGACTTTACTGGCCCCCGACTCCTTGACATTATCAAATGCCACTTGAGCAGAGAGCTAGCCTGTGTTATTCATCTTTGGAAGTGTGGCCTTCGGGTTTATCTTGAGGAATAAAAACTTGGCAAAGAGGGAATGTGTGTCAAGAGGGGTAAAAGCTGGAGAGAGTTGGTTTATTTTCCTCTTGTAAACAAGGCACTTTATTTGTTTGAATTGCTTTCTTTTTTTTTTTAATTGCGTTGCTTCTTTAGTGTGACCTGCAAAGATGGTCAGCTGTGTCTTTTACTGTCACAGTCAGCTTGATGAATGCATTTTTCTATGTTCCTCACTAAAATCCTTTGAACAAGGCTCCTTATTCCAACAGTTTTTAGGGAAGGTTTCATTATATCTTACTTGGACTATCCACCGATTCTTATCACCTGGACAGTTAGTGCATAAAGTATGGAATCATGTGGGTGTCCTTGTGTGCACATTTATTTGAGAGTGGGGGGATGTGTGGGATGCTGTTGGGGATTAAAAAAGTGTTATTTTGCCACATACCTTTCTCTGTTCTCATACTACATGCATACTTAGAATGGAGTGGAGGAGAATATACAATGGAAGTTGCAGCTTCACACAGACAAAGAATAACCAATAAATATTCCTTGATACATCCTGATACTAGGAGTGCATCTTCTTTTGGAAAAAGACCTGTTAAATTTCATTCCTATTGAATTCAGCATAATAATCTCTAGGAATGTTGACTGTGTTCAAAGTAACTTTTCTCTCCTCATTTCTCATAGGGAGGAATTTGATTCCACAAGTCCCAAAAATAATTTAAAGTTATTTATTGCCATTTAACATCTGAAGCTAAGATATCATTCTGATTAGGCTTTAAATATGAAGTGCTACAGCTCAAACTTCAAGCTAAACAGCATACTTATTATATTCAATGTATTGTATTCCTTTCTTAATCGTGTTCTCTGTACACGCTGGTCACCCTGGAATCTCACAGATAATCTACTAAAGAGTTTCTTCCCATTTGTTCCTCAGAGACAGCTTAATACACCTCTTCCAGAAGTCAGAATGTCTTCATCCTTATCCACTGTCCCTAGCACGTCTATGTTCTTTATTTTGCCTCTTTTATATATGGTACCATGTCTTGGTTTCAACTCTGTGAACTTGTCTAAGAGGTAATAACCTGCCCAAAAATTTTTCTAGTATCCTTTAAACTTTTATCAGAAGTTAAAATGACATCATCTACCATCATGATCTTTAAAATTAATGTAAACTGATGCTCATTCACTAAAACATCCTTAATATTATTAATGGCGCAGTCACTTTGTATAAGAAATCCTGGTTTTGTTTTATCGAGATAGGTCATAAGAGTTCTCTCCTAGGTGACATAATAACTCTGGAAAGCTTAGGAAGAAGGACTGCCATGAAGTGAGTCAATACCATGTCTACATAATTTGATCATGTCTCCAAAAAATCAAATCAAACCAAAACTATGACAATTAATTTACTTAAATGCATTGAGACCTCATGAAATGCTAGGCTTCACAAACCTCCACACATGAACCCACTTCATGTATTCTGTAAATTAAAAATTGTAATCACTTTGAGGAGAATAAATAAATGCTCAGATATGGCAAATCATCTTCCCAATGCCATTCAGTCACAGGCATGGACTGTCCCTCAGTCTGTCCAACTCCGGAGCCCATATATTTAGTCCTGTGGTTGTCTTGTTTACACAACTTTTTCTTCTATTCTACAGTATTGTGAGAAAAATATCACACTGGCACATCATACTTATAGGACATGCCAGTAATCATTCTTTGATGCCTTTACTCTGTAGTCATTCAGTAAATCCTGAGCATGTGTTTCTTTCCTTTAACCACTGAAGTTCTAATAACCGAAATATTTTAAGCACCTGTCCCTTCATGTTTGAAATGGTCTTTGAGATGTAAAATATGCTAGGTGTTGGGCAGTTCTTTGATGATTTAAAGGCAGGGTATCAGACACCTTCCTTTTCATGTTTATTGTCTAGCAAGTTCTCTCCTCTGCCAATTTTCCACGTGTTCCAAGTAGAGCTCAGATTGGGAGGCCTCTTGTGCTAGATTGTCTTGTTTATTTCTTCCTC